ATCAGATATTCAAGATATCTTGAACGAGATGCTCTTTCTGGCAATCCATCAGCTTCAAGTTTCCGATCACAACAGCAGGAACTCTTGAGTGGAACCCAGGGTGGGAGAGAAGGGGATATTAAAGCTATCACACCTTTAATAAGCCTGCAGATTACAAGATGAAGTAAACTAAATTTATCCTGAAAAATGTATGAAAACTGTATACCATGACACAGAATTTTTGCAGACTAAGCCCTTAAATTATGGAAAGTATTCTAGGGAACCCAGATAGTAAAAGAGCAACTCTTTTTACCTATGTGTTCAGAAATACTAAAATCAACATACAATCCTTGAAAGGCTGTGATTTAAGAGGGTCTGAATTCTTGAGGCAAGATGTAGCTAAAGAAAAGTAAGTTTTTTCTTTAAGTTGAAGTACCTGTTTTGAAGAAACTTCCCATGTATGAGAAACCATTGGTAGGCTAGTTTTCTCTACCCAGCAGCACAGGACTCTTACACCAGTGTTTAGAAGGCTGCTGTGGAACCATGAATATAGTAGACTTGGTTAAATATTGACATACAGTCCTGGGTGTCCAAAGTACTGAACTGCAAGCTTCCCACTGCTCTTGGCATTCATGTTTTGCTTCAGTTCCTGTCAGCGTGGCTACTGGGTATCACTGCTTCAAAAGAGAGCTTGCACTGCTTAGACTTCTAGGTAGATGGTTCTTCCTCTGCGTTTGTCTACCCAACATGGGTAGTGCTAGCTGGTCTTTGTTTTGGATGTGCCAGTCTTATTACCTCTGAGTAAGAGAAAATTCAGTAATTTTTCACTAAGCACCATGTATTACTTCAGATCCCTGTTCTGTATTACATACAGAAAGCTCACAGAGCAGTGTATTCCCCTAGAATCTCTATCTGTACAAAGCTTACATTGTCAGGAAGGTATTCAGGTCATCACAAGAGCAGATAGTCCAGCTAAATCAGGCTGATATGCATGTGTATGTACGTGTGTGTGTGTGACTGTAGAAAGAATAGAGGGGAAGCAGAAATATACAGGAATACCATTCCACAAAGAATGTAGTTCTGACCAGTTTACACTATAGCAAAATCTATTTTCAACATCAAAGCAGTGGAAACACTGAGAAGGGACAGCTTTCTTTGCAGGTTATGAACATTTTGTATATTACTGCCACAGAGGTCCATTAAGATAGACAAAGATTAAGACTTGCCATCAGACTAACCACTACATAGCAGTTGGAAACAATAGTAAGATGGTCTTGACTTCCGTTTTTTTCTGGAATGAAGAGTTCACGACTCCCTGACTACAGTCAAAATGCTCAACCCAAAAATATCCACTGTATAGAGTGAAGCATGAATTTCCAATTTGCCTGCAATTGCTTTCAGAGAGGAAAAGCCACTTCTTCCAAACAGGACCAGCTAGAAGTTTTCCAGGGAGGACAGCAAGGTAAAAAAAATGAACAGCATACCAGATACATCCAAAGCAAATAGCAACCTGTAACTATGTGCTTGTTCCTGTAAGAGGAGACAAATCTGAAGGAAGATGGGAAGTAGGAATTGACAATGTCACTTCGGGTAATACGTACCCAAGAACCTTTCTCCAGTATTTTCCTTTAGTTGGCTTCATGTCTGAGTCCACTGAATTGCTCTTCAGGAGCCCTTACTTTTCTGTGCTCCATAGCCACAAGGACTTTGATGGTCTTAACGCAGCCATGCTGCTAAAGTCTTTACTATGCTGTAGGAAAGTACTGATTCTTTCCACAGTAAACAATGAAAGCAAATCTGTAAGAATCTCATGCATGGTTTTCATTTTTCACAGAACGTTTACAATGGCAATCTAGCCTACTAAGCAGTCCAAAATTTACCCTACTTCATCAGGGCAGGTACCAGTGCCTCTTGAGAATCGTAGAATGGTTTGGGTTGGAAGGGACCTCAAAGATCATTTAGTTCAAACCGCCCCCGCTATAGGCAGGGACACCCTCCACCAGACCAGGTTGTCCAAAGCCCCATCCAACCTGGCCTTGAACACTTCCAGGGAGGGGGCATCCACAACTTCTCTGCACAACCTGTTCCAGTGCCTCATCACCCTCATAGTGAAGAATGTCTTCCTTAATCTACCCTCAAGGAGGGTAGGATCTACCTTGAGGAGTCTGACAGGAAAAATCTTTTTGCTTAGAAGAAGCTCCCTTCTATCAGCACTTGCCAAGAACCTTCCTCCAGAAAAGCACATCCTGTACCTGTCTGTACTCCAGCCCCATTCAAATCTGTTACACAAGAATCATGCCATTAGCATATTTCCTGCACTTGACCCTGATTCCTGCCCTCAAGGAAACAAGCAGAACAGTTGCCTTCTCAGATCCTTGGAGGACCCAAATGCTCTGTTACATATGCTATTTGTTATGTAGGCATCTATGTTACATGTACAAAATTGCTTAATTGGAAATGGATCCAAAGGAAGCAAAATTCCTTAACTCAATTACCATGCCTGCTAAAAACAGGCTTAGAGTTTTATTGGTTTGGTTTATTGAATAATATTTGATGGCATTACCTCAAAATCTGTTTTTAGAAGGAAAATATCTCTAAAGCTATGGAATAAATCTGTTTCAGCACCAAAAAGCCCAGTATTTATTTCACACCTGTGACAAAGAAAGGACTAAAATTCTATGGAAGCTTTCAATTTTTTTTTCTGAGATACAGAGGGAGACAACAGGATGCCAATCCTGGTGCAATTCAAGAGGCACTCATACTAATTTTTCAAGTGTTTGTGCCCAGGATATTACAGCTTTCTATGGGTAAAAAAAAGTATATCATCCAAAAACAAGTCAGTCAGGGCTGGGCCTGGCTCTGACACTTCTCAGGGTACACAGTGATTTAATAGCTGGCCACACAGAAGATGAGCAAGCCAGACACGTAAGTTTTCCTTCTGAACACTTCCTATTTGCATCCAAGATCGAATGAGAGGTTTTGTTTAACTCCTACATTACAGGACCCTTAAGATATGCAACAGCAAGTTAGACTGCAGCTGGCACACAGTGCATTTTTTTCTTCTTTTCTATATAGAAATGGGGATAAAACCAAAACAGAGATGGCCTCTCACTAGTCTGTATTTGTAATGCAGACACAAGGCATAATGATTTGTTCAGGAGAGCAATCTTTACAGAAGACACCATTCTCCCCAGTAGCTTCCACAGCTACCACATGATGCAACCATCTGGTCCTCTAACAACTGCCTTTTGTATGTTCTCGCAAGGGGTCTGGCAAGAGCTATCAGAAGTAAATGCTCCTGCAAATCTAACGGAACTGCTACTGGTAAGAGGAACAGCACTGGAAGGACGCACAGTATGAGAAATACTAATATACCAGTGAGCATTCAACCCTGCTACACTCACGTACATCTTTGACAGAGACCAGTACTGTAAGTACTGAAAGTTATCCAAATCACATATCAGATCTGTGATAGGTCACAATAAATCGAGAAAAACCAAGATACAACTTGGGTCCCATATCATAAAATTTCAAAACTGAAGATGGTTAACTTAAGCAACTGCGAGAAACCACATGAGCCTATAGGCTCAAGTGGTTTCTCAGCAGGAGTGAAGCACATCTGTTCTTACTGAGCTGAAGATCAGAATCTGACCTTTGGAAAGGACATACCAAGGCTTGGGCCCCAATATTGTTCCAGCAGCACAACCAAAAGCTGAGGGATAATGATAGTTTAATAGTGGCAAGTTCAACTAAAGTTGTAATCTAGACCAAGAAAAAGGACAAATTTATACAAGCTACAGTAAGCACCTACAGCAAACTCACTTTTCACACAACTTGTTCACGTGCCTTCAGGTCTACTTCGAAACTAGCAATACACACAGAGGAGCTCAGCCTGCTATCCACCGTACTTAACGGCTCAACTTCTTTTGCTCAAGAAGGTATCTGTTCTGCAGCATGCCTTCTGTATGCGTCACACAGTCCTTAAGAGCAATAATCATTGCAACATCTACACACTAGAAACATCACAGCTCAGTGTTCACAGAAGCTCTTCACAAAATTTTGTAACTTCCAAGATCTACTACCACATTAAAATGGAGGCTGGACATAACGTATGCTAAACAATGCACTTCATTTCTGTGCTTTTCTTACTCTTCTCTCAACAATTCCTTTTCATCATCTTTCCTCTCCCACTCAGACTTTTAGTTCCTTCCTCTTCAGAGCAGCCAATCATTGCTGTTCTGTCCGGTGTCACTCAGCAGTGGAGGAAACTGAAGGCTGGCTAAGGTGTCAGGTGTTTTTTGTTGGTTTTTTTTTTTTTTTTACTTGACTAAACAGTACACCTACTTCTTCCTGACATCTAATGAAGGAGAACTACAGGAGGTCTCCAAGCTTTTATATCATCCAATCTTTCTTCCAAGCTTATTCCTCATTTTCATAAACTCATATAATCACCTCTTCAAATGCCCTCTTATAAACCTCCTGATATTGTCTGCACCTAATACCTTTTTCTTTTACCTTGAGATGTGTTTTCATTTCTGAAAAATATTCAGAATAAACTGTAATATGCTGCTGTTTAACCAAACTTTTATCTCAAGTTTTTCAGATGTATTTGGTAAATGTTTAGAATAACCATCCTATTCTGTTTTTTAAGAACAGAATAGCATCCTGATCTAATGCAGAAAACCTAACACCAACAATTTACTAATAATCCAGATAGCTAGTACAAGAAATGGAGCCAGTGTAATTTCAGTCCACAGTAAATGAAGGGCACAAATAAAAATAATTTAATTTCTAAAGCTGGACAATTATGTGATATAGCAATAGCTTTCTTAATTCCTGCAATGCATAATGATATCTGAATGAGACTGCAAATACCATCATATGTTGGATTCCCAAAGTAGCATGCCCTTTAGATCCATACCAGTTATACACGGGCACAAAGTATTTTCCCTTACCTTTCTTCTTTATAAAAAAAAAGCATTGTCTTATTTCTTGTTGCTGCTTTGATGAGGCTTACTTACCGCTTCAGAATTATCAATGAAAGGGTCCGTTTCGTCATAACCATAACCTATATCGATTAGATCCTGCAGGCGATCCTTCCGATGTTTGTGGGGCTTTCCACCCTGAAAACAAAGCAATCTTCGTATCATTTGGCAAAAAGAGAAGCAATGTACTGAAGTCTACAAAACATAAGGCATCAGAGGGATGGTCACGGAGGGAATTAGCAGTTTTGCTTTCTTGGATGCTTCCTTGAATATAGTCTAGATGACTTAATAAAAACTTTCACACAGGAATGAGTTCTGGTAAACATGCTTTACTGTAGCCTCACCACAATCACCCCTGAAAGGTATTCATTAGCCACCTGGTTTCTGCATGACCGAGATCCTATTTAGAGATGTTTCACTGTCCTGTGTTTTTAAAACATAGTGATAGGACTGTTAGCGACAGGAGGACTGGGATCATTTAGAAAGTTATAAGCTTTTCAGTATGTTAGGGTCATTACAAAGGAAAATACTGATAGCCTAGCATTCAGTAAAGTGTTTCCCTAAACAAGATTGCTTCTCTACAGAAAAATGAAGCCTATCTAAGTCAAAAGAGAACAATATTGATCAGGTACTGGCAGATATGGTGTCTTTGAGTTTTCAAGAAGTTACAGCATTCATATAACATAACTGAAGAAAAACATATTAAGATAAAATCCTTTGAAATGCAAGAGCAGTCTCCTCAGTTGATAGGACTGGACATGAAATGGTTACTTGAGTAACTTAAAGCCAGAATCTGCATCACAGTCTGTGGGCTCACTTACCTCCTGGAGGTGGTAAACTTCATTTTAACCTGTAAGTGCTTCTCTCATGTGAAAGTTTTATAGCTAAATCAAGTCAAGTAAAAACTCACGCCCAGCTCAAACATTCAGGGAATCTAAACTTACAGTTACACAAATGGGAATCTACTTAGGATATAAAGTCTAGTTTTCCAGCTCCTATATATTGTCAATATAAAAGTCTTAAAAGATAAAATTCTCCAAAAGGCACCACCTTCACTAAAATGGTAACTGGTGTTCTCCCATAAATTTGAGAAGACTTGCTCCTGAAGCTTCTCTGCCTGTGCTCTACAGTTCTAAGCATGTTTAGAATGAGTCTTTTCTATTGTGACATCCAAATGTCACAACCCACTTGTTACTATGAGTATGCAGACAGTGTTCAAAGGTTTCATCCTTGCTCTGTAAGCATCTAAGCACCCTCACTTTAAAAATATTTTGCAAGAATTCAAGTTTGTAACTAAGTTAAGCATGTGCTTTTGCAAGCAAACAGGAAATCTCTTAAGTATAATTAAATAAATAAATGTAATAGTCCTAGGAGAAAAATCTCAAAATTGAGTTCTAATTTCAAATCAGGTTTCCAAGCTAAGTATCCCTAACTTTTCCTATCAGTCTTATCATCCCCTCCAGTCACTCATCTGATAAAATATCTGAATGACTGCACATTCCCAAAACAAGTGGTACTTTTTTTTCTTAAAAAAAAATAGTTTGGATGAGAGAAGAAAAAATATCTCTGAAAAAAAGTTAGCACTTAAGAATTCTATTTAAACTCCAGTGCAAAGGCTTATGTAGTTCTCATGATTCCGACTGAGGCACCAGCAGGCTGTCTGAAGAATACATAAATTTTACTTTACCTCTTCTGATCTCACTAATGTGTAATGCAATCCACCTCTGTACCACATCTCTTGCAAAGTCCAAGTAACCATCACCATCCTTGCTTTTGAGTCCAAAATCCTTTTGCAGCAATGGTTATTCTATGATTTCAGTGTATGGGCATTAAAAAAAATTCTCAATACATTCTGACTGCCTGTTATTCATAAAACCATAGTGCAGATATAGAACAAAGTTAATAACCAAAAAGAAGTCTCATAATAGCCAAATGAATAAAAGCAGGATTAAAATAGTAACCTGTATTCAGACACTTGAAAATATCTGAGCCAGTGTATGTACAGTTAGAGAATTTCCTTCCAAGCCTGGTTCTACCTAGTTGCATTTAAGGAAGCATGTTGAAAGTCTGTATGATCAAGATGTTAGGGATGCAAGACCAAAGCAGAAAAACTGAAGGGATTATCTGCATTGGTGTTTACTACACAACAGTCAGGAAAGTTTTACCACTGAAGCTTTTCACATTTCCCAAAAGAGTTCCTCCAACCTTTGTATCCCAGAACATAAGCACTCATGATACTAGAGCAAATTAAGATGTCTAGCTCCTGAGGCTGCAAACGGTACTCATGCAAGTATTCAGAAAACTCAAATATGAGTTCAACAGATTAACTGTGGCATGTAACCTAACGTTTAAACAACCTTTGCCCACCAGGACTAGAAGATGGCAAATAGCAATTTTCCAAGGGCCACAACATAGTCTATAAACCAGTAAATGTGATCTCTATATTGGGTGAGTTAACAGAAGGTATAAAGAACAGAGCCAGAGGCACAAGAACATACATTCCAGAGCAGGAAAGAATTTTAGTAGAAGGAAGCAGTAGTTCAAATACTTTTAGAAAGGTCCAAGATCTTTAAAGACAAGAAACTATCATGGGATAAGAGGGAGGGTCCACTCAAATTAATGTCTGGTTTAAGGCTGGGAAAAAGTGTAGGAATAAGTTTTCATTTTGGCAAAGAAAGTAATCAGTGAAATCACCAAGGAACATGTATTCATTCATCTTTACAAGTAATAGAGAGGGCTAACAGTTGGGGGGTGTGGTGAGATGACAGAAATTACTGAGTACAGTAAACAAAAAAAGACAACTAAAGAATCGCTGAAAGACCTCACAGTTGCTCTGAACTTAGTACAATAAATCATCAGTTGAATTCAGTATCAATAAAAGCAAGGTAATCCACACAAAGGAAGTACAACCCAAACAAGAAAATAAACAGTATGCTCCCAATTTGTTATGCTGCTCAGGAAGCACTGGAGTTGTTACACACAGCTCTATGACATTCACTCAATCAACAGCGGTCAAAAAAGAAAATAATTGGGGCTTATGCAAAAAAGGAACAGAGAACAAAACCAGAAGTCATCATTACATCACTGATAAATCAGGGCATCCTACCGTTAATATCCTTTCATTTAAAAAAAGAAATGAGAACAAAAAAAGGGAACAGTAAGGCAACAGGGATGTTTAAAGGTAAAAAACACTGCTTCCATACAATAACAGAACAATAAGACACGAAAGGATGTTAAGGAATGAAAGGACTGAATTTAGATGATAGCATCAGAATCGCATGCAGAAGAACAGGAAACATTTCACTGCTTCTTACAACACAGAAACCATAGAGCACCAAGTGAACTCATCCGGTTTAAACACAAAGTATGTTTTCATATGACATAACCATCATGGTACTCACTGCCATGGAGCACAATGAAACTCAGTGAACTCAAAATGATCTGGTAAATTTATGGCAGAAAGCTATAATGAAGGGTAGTTAAACACACAGGCTTTGAGAGAAATTAAGTCACAGATTGCTAGACAGGCACAGTGAAGTAATATCAGTGCACACTTACTCTGTTTATACTTTCAAGTGTGAGACTCCACGAGTGTCAGAGGACTATGATACCATCCATTAGATGGACCTTTGTTTTGATCCAATAAAAATTCTTACATTATGTACAAGATCATCCAAGATTCAATATCATGTTTTTACAACAGAGTGATTGTCTAGCGAATAACAGTAATCAAAAGAATGAAAGTGGGAACCATTTAAACCATTTAAACACCATGCTAGTGTTTAAAACATGCAGCAATTGCAAAAAAATTTCTTAATAATCAAGTAAATAAATGGTACATTATGCATCTTGTTTTACAAAAATGTATTTATTCATAGGCTTTTTCTTAGTATCTGCAAGATATACCCACTACTGTACTGATTTGATTATGAGCACAGGAATTTATCTGAAGAGAAGTAAAAAAAATCTTCAGGGAAGACTGTTCTTAATGCATCAATTTTTCTCAAAAGTATTGCCACATGTGCTATCATTAAAAAGATTGTTTGACTCCATTTTAAATGGATATAGATAAGTAATACCTAATTAGTTTAAGAAGGATATAGTACTTCCTGCAAATTTGAAAAAACCCTCTACTACTCTCTCATACAACCAGTGATTACTTTTACACTAAAGTGCTGTTAAAGAGAAGAGAATAGGTATCTATTTCATGGGGATCCCTGTTCTAGTTTAAGCTAAGGAACGTATGTCTTGCCACAAGAATCAGAAGATGGCTGGATGCTGTCAGAACATGAGCAATTGTACTGGGTCAGTGTACAGAGATGCAATTCCTCCGAGCACGGATGGTAGAGACTGATAGTACTTGTATTGGAAAACAGAAAGGACAGAGACTATCTAACACAAGAACTATTAATCCCTCACCACCCTCCATGCTTAGTGGCCCTACCCTAGTTAGTTGTTCTGCATACAGAAGACATTCCCCTTCCTAGAATTCTGTGGGGCTGAGGGGCATAAGGTACAGCAGAGAATGAGAGAAAGCCAAGAAAATTGGAAGTGCAAATAGTAATCAAGATACAAGTGCACCATGAATTTAAAGTGTCGTAAAATTACAGGTTTTGTTACCTACTGCTTTCTAATAGTTAAAAGTATCTACTTGTCCCTTTTTACGTCTCCTGATCACCGAACTCAAGTTTTCATAAGTCTAATCACACTATGTTTTGTCCATAAATGTACATGTGTAGCTTTGATGTATGCATAAAGGTATATGTAACATTAGATTGCTTCCTCTACTGCTCCCTCCTACATATATTGCTTTACATGCTTTACACTGGCTTTCATCTGCTGTAGTTAAGCAACTCGTTTCAGGACATTATAAAATCCTTAACTTGTATTATGGAAATGAGTCTTCTAGAAAAGTACAGTTGAAACATTTTTCTCTCATGTTCAAAAAAATTATTTATCATTCAAATGAACAGCAAACAGTTTTGGAACTGCCTTCTCAATTCACTGAGTATATTGGGTTCTGTCAACCCCTCTAAAAGATGAAAATCATTCTTTTCAATTTAAGGGTTTCTTTTGTTACGCATCACAGCTAACATGCCCTGAAATAGTAATTAGTTCTACAGAATGTATAGACTGGGCACTCAGATAAATCTGCGTTTATCAGGAAAAAAAGATCCAAATAAATCAGACAAGAAAGATTTTAATATGTATATTAATGGCAAGAGATACAAATGACTGCTCTTGTTTCCCTTCTTTATTACTGAGGTGCTCTATTAGTAATCCAGAATATCAACGTGCCTAAGCATGATGATGAGTTTTGATTGCCGGCTCTGAATTAATCACCCAACCCTACCCATATGAATTCTTAAAGACTTGTTTGGGTGTGGTTTTAGTCAACATTTTCTGATTTCTACCTTAATTTATTAGGGAAGGCCTCTTTATGTTACTATCTAGTGTTGTTCAAATGATCCACGCTACACTTTCAGGCGTCAGCAGAGTATATTTAGGCAGTTGACAACTATAATATAAGTCATTACTAGATGAGTTTAGAATTCAACAATAACTTCCTATGGAAGCATTCCAAATTAGTCAGAAATTCACAAAGATTCATCAGTATTTAACCCAAACAGAAGAGCTGTTCAATAGTGCACAACAGCATCACATAAAAATTCTTTCCTCTGGCACAGTATTTACCATGAATATTGACCTGTATTTATTGCTCAGTTGTATTTATATAGGAAGCTTTTCCAAGAATAGCTTCACAAGCTATAACATCCTATAGACGAATCTATTTAGTAGACTTGTCTAATAAGCTTGTAGCAGCTTCAAGCTGCTTAAATGAAATGAGACAGTCAGCTCCAAAACATACAGAAGTCACTTGACACTACATTAGCAACACTATTCAGGCAAAAAAGCTGATGTTAACATCTCTACAGCATCATAAGTTATCACTGTTGAATATTTGTATATTTTAATACAGGTATAGTAACTCACATATTTTGCCTCAAACTTCTTCGCTAGCATTTCTACTTCATGCCGCTCACGTTGTTCGTCATTAAACGGATCTTCCGAGTGAACCGATTTCTTCTGAAAAATGCAGAAGTTAAATATTCATTCCAAAAAAACACACAGAGTACATCTAAAAAAAACCCTATTAAATAACAATAAACAATGTTCTGGTGACTAAGTAATCAGAATTTATACTCAGAGAGTCCAAATACTTTATCCTCTAAAAATCAGTTTGACCCTTTCAATTATCATTGTTACTTTTCTTCTAATGAGAACACAAAAGTTAACAGAGTCAGACTGATATTTTCCCAAGCATTTCACTACAAGCTCAACTGAAAGCATAAGCATAAGTGAATTACAGCCATTTGAGGTTCAAAGAGAAAGAACTCTCTAAATACAACTCCTTTTCACTTCTGCTTCCACTGATGCCTCTTATTGGCGCTGTGAAGGATCCTTCCAGATACAATACACAAGATGTACCTGGTACCTGGCACGTTAATCAGCAAGGAAGCAGCCAGAAAACTAAAAAGCTCAGTAAGTTACAACCATAACTAATGTAACTCCTTTAACTCTCATATTGTTATTTTTTTCTTCAGATAATTTCACTAATCATAGCATGAATTGCAGAAGATTGCCACTATGGCAGCCACAAGGACAACAGAGATTTAATATTCCAGCTGTACAAATAAGCAGGAAGTACCCCCCTCTTTTTTTTTTTTTTTTTTTTTGAGAAAGAGGTTTTCATTGTCACAAAGTCAATGAACAGTAATCAGGGCTATACATCATGCTTTTTTTTTTTAAATAACACATGGCATAAAAACAGGCCTACCTTTGTCAAATTAGAGTTCACAAAATACAGTAATTGTCTAAAGGGGGAGGTACTAGAATGCTAAAATGTAGTGGAATGGAGTTCCATTTTACAGAACTTTATAAATAGCAACTAACTTTACTGCACATGGACCACTCATTAATGAATAAATGAAGATTTATGGTAGGCTAAGACAGAATAAAAAGCAACACTAAGTTCAGAAAAGAAAAGATCCTTCCTCTGCAGTATGAATAGCCAATATATTGACTATATGGTAACCAAATAACAAAATAGCTCAGTAGTATCAAGACCAATGTAATGAGAAAGGTAAGCTGAGCAAAACTGCAAACACCACATAATTTTCTTATATTTTCTAAACCGAGTACTTAGAAAAAATAATAGATGTTATAGTTAATCCTGACACCTCTAGTAAATTACATACACATCTCTTGCAGGCATAACTGAATATAAAATGCTGCTCAATTCATGCAACACTGTCTTCCCTACTTTTAGCTGGGAAAAATCAATTCCACACCTTCTGCTAGGCAAATGTGGGGGTTTTGAGTTGTGAAAGGATAAGGTTAAGGCCAGAGGTCAAGCAAAATTTAGTACTAAAGTGTTAACTTGCCTCTCTCCACCCAACTCTCAAAGCTGTAGCTGACTGTCACTTTGATTAGTTAAGCATTATGGGAATCGCAAATTCAAGTAAGTCTTTGCTTTGACAGGTTCTAAGAGCTCTGATGGACAACTGTATTAGACTTTGCTGTAACTCCAAGAGATTGCTACTTCAGCACCTTTACAGTCTGCTTGACAGAAGACAACTTGGCATTTTCAGTTAAGATTTACACACCAAGCTTCAACTGCACCAACAGAAAAGGGAGCACACTTTCACTTCTGACCATTTAAGAGGCAAATAAACTCTTCAACCACACCAACTCATTACTCACACCCAAAAACTTTACATAAATAATTCCTACCGAGATGAACTCTACCAACAATCCTATCAAAGGATGTTCTCTTTATCAAGGCAAAAAAGCAGCACAAGGACAGCATGAGTTTCTAACAAACAGTTCCACTAGCTTCTGATTCAGGCTAGGAAACCAAATTTGGAATAAAAAAAACCCCAAACAAACAGAAGTTGCACTCATCCTGTCAAATCAATTTTGGGATTCTCTACTATTTCATTAAGAGAGCTATTAAAGCAATGTTTGAATATTCCTGTGCACCACTCCTTGCCTTCCCAGAACAACCTGCCTCTGGAGAGCCTTTCTTGCTTGCTCCAGTTCCAAGCAACACTACAAGATAGATAAGTTTCTAATTCTGTAATGTTGAACTTTAATGAGCAACTTCTTATAAGGGATAAAGAATCAACAACAGCTTTCAGAAAACTCAATCTTCACCCTACAAAAACAATTTGCATAATTAAGTTTATATGAACTGTTCATTTTAAACTGCATCACTACAAAAGCAACAAAAAAATTGGAAATCTAAAACTCCACTTAAAATCACAGCATTAACTGGCAGCTACTTACTACCTACCTGGAAATAGCAAACTCATATATTCTGCAGAAAAGTAGTAGAAAGTGGGTGTTCCTTGGTCAAGCTTCATTTTAACAAGGTAGTTTTCCCTGCTGCATTAACCAGTATAAATCACCATGGTCATTCTACTCCACAAGCACGATCAGTTTTCCTTTCACAATTTTTTTCTATTTTAGGACTTTAAACAGGTTACATAATTTGTTGAGAATGACCAGCATAAAAGACAGACTTCTGTCATTGTAAGCCTCCTGCATCGCACAGAGCAAATTCTCCTCTTGTATTTGCTTTAACTATGAAGAAACCACCAAGCACTAATTCTACTGCTGGATAAAATGCATTTCCCCTCTCTCTCCATGCTGATTAATACATGATTTTAAGTCCTCCCTACTGTATCAGAGTAGCTTTTCCAGCTTCCCATACAGCAAGCAAGAAGTTAAATTGACAGGCCAAGTACACATCAGTTTTTAAACAAGATTAAAAGTCCATAATTGCTTTAAAGGGATCACAATTTATGACCCTGGTTTACATAATCAGCTGATTGTTCCACAGAGTCCAGCAAGACCATTATGATCCATTCATTTAAATTTGGACTTTACAGAGCTGAAAAACACACACTATTTCTTATAAAGCATTCCTATCACTATTTCTACCTTCACAGCAGTCTCTGATACCAATTGTACCAAAAATCCCCTAAATCAACGCCCACCTGCCCTCCCTCCCTGCAGAAGACATGGAATTTGCATCAGAACTACATAAAAAAAGCCACCTTTCCCTGATTATGTGATTAACATATTATTAACCTACAGAAAAAGGCAGTTATGGAACTGGGAACTGCCAAAGGGAAAAAGTCAACATCCATGTACTGAACCACTTCTAAACACGAACACAATTTTCACCTTCATACAGGAACTGCTCAGGGAGATGGCACTTCATAGAGCAGCATGCTTATGCTACAACAATTCAGAGGAATCTTAACTGGCACTGTTTTTCCACAACAGCTGTAGGACAGGATGAACAGAAAGAACCTTTTAACTTGCATCTGAATATCTCAGAGAGATTAAAATCAGAGTCATTGACTTTTCTGTCTCCCACATTTGAACACAATCTTGTGTACATCCCTCCTACTACAGAACAAAAGAGTGAGCAGGCTGCTAAGTATAGTTATGGCATCATCATCACCTAGAAAGACTTTGGTTTGTAAAACAAAAGTTTTAACCATTCTCCAGTTTGTGCTGGATGTAAAAATCCAATTTGAGGTTTGCTTTTATCACCAAAGCTATCATAACCTTCTCAGCAGTAGCTACTTGCTTGCCCTCCCCCCCCCC